AAAGCAAAAGCAAGCTGGTCCACTGCCTCACTGCTGCCTTGTGCTCCCAAGCAGTAGAAGTAGCAACCACACCAGTGCCATGGCCACACACTGCCAGCTGCCAGGTAGCTCACAGCAGGACCAGCAGCTGCTGCTGAGGACACATGTCAGTCCCCTGCTTTGTCCTGCCCTGCCAGCTATCCTGAGACAGAAAAGGCTCTGGTTTGGATTTAGGTGATCCTGCGTGGAGGCAGGATTTGGATTCAATGAACCTTGAGGGTCCCTTTCAGCTCGGGATACTCCATGATCCTGCAAATCAGCCCTGAGAAGAGACAGCACTGTGTGTGTGCTTGCCTGACTAACATGAGGCTTTTAACACCAATTCACATCCAGGAGAGCACAACTCACACATCATTCCTGTGACTGGAAGAGCTCAGGACAGCCACAGCCTGAAGAAGGCATTTTGCTGCTCTCCTGCATTTACTTCAGCCCTCAGGCACAGTCTTTCAGCTGGAAACTGTCTCAGAGATTTCAACAGAAACGAGGATGGAGGACACGGCGCAAAACACAAGCTATTAACATAAATGCTCAGGACAAAACAACTTTAAGGTATGACAGGGGAAAGCTGGCAGGAGCCAGATCTCAGCACAAACACACACAGCCTCCAGAAACAAGCACCCAAGCACAGCAGCTCCTTGCTCTTCCACTACAGCATTGACCGCACCACGAGGTGACTGCCCCTGCAAATGGGACAGAAGGAATTCCACTGAGATGAGAGAAAAAGCACTCCTCCTCCAGGAGCGTTCAAGTTACAAGAGCAATGTTCTTCACTTCTTGTTTTAAAGGCAGGTTCCTGCTGATGCCCCCCGGCAGCCAAGCAGGGTTGGGAAGGGCCCTGCAGGGTCATTTCCATTTGAAGGAACGAGCACTGCCCTCAAGCACTCAGGGGCAGCTACTACAGAAAGCTCTGCAATCGCCCGGTCTGCAGGGACCAGCAGTGTCACTCCTTCCACACAGCGCAGAGAGGCCCTGTCCTGCACCTGGACACCACAAGCATACACCAAACAGATGGTAGCTTTTCCATTACACTTTCTGGTGCTGCAGAGCTTTCTCTGCTTCACCAAACAGCAGTTTCATGGCAGCTGTGCTCCTGCAGCTCTCAGTAGATCACAGGCACACAGCTGGAGATCACAGAATGGCAAGGGTTGGAAGGGACCTCAAGGATCATGAAGCTCCAGCCCCCTGCCACGCGCAGGGCCACCAACCTCCCCATTTCATACCAGCCCAGGCTGCCCAGGGCCCCATCCAACCTGGCCTTGAACACCTCCAGGGATGGACGGGGCATCCACAGCCTCTCTGGGCAGCTGTTCCAGCACCTCAACACTCTCTCTGTAAAGAAATTCCCCCTGACATCCAACCTAAATCTTCCCTCCCCTCAACTTCAAACCATTTCCCCTTGTCCTGCCATTATCTACCCTTAGAAAGAGTTGAGATGGGCATTGGGAAACACAGCCTTCCCAGACTGATTATTTTTTCCTCCTTTAAACTAGCTGCGCAATTCAAGGATGAGTTTTCCCTGTCCGAATGGTGTTGAAAGTGGCCATGTCACTAAAATATGACAAATCATCCAGGAAGTTACCAAAGAAACTGAGTCCATCTGGCACAGGGTTTGAGTGTCCTAAAGCTGGTGGGAGTAGCAAAGCAGAGTGCATTGCATGGATGCTGGCTCTGATTAACACAAAGAGGTGCAGAGCTGTTTAACAGCCACCATCCTCAGTCACAGCATCCATGCCCGGGGCACTGATAGAACACTGGTACCTGTGAAGATACCCAAAAGAACAAAGAGAAAGCACACAAACTCACTCCCTGATCTGGATTCTGGAGACCAAGCAGTGAGCAGGTACTACTTTGCTTTTCAGTTGATTTTACTTGACCACAACCATTCTCTTTTAGTTTGTTACAGAAGGATTAACCAGAAGAAATTCTTATACTACTGGCTCCTAAATCCTTTATTACATCTAGAAAAAACACCTTTTTGCATTTGTGTCCTACTTGCTCTAGTCCCGGAATAGGAAAGATCAGCATTTACTCTTCCACTTAAGCAAAGCTACAGTAAGTTCTGGCAGTCATTACTACCTTTTCTTCCCTTTTCTGAATGCGTCCCTCCATATGCAAACACAAGAAAGCAGAAAAAGAACAGACTTATTTTTCCGAGAGGCGGCAGAAGCTGCAGCCCACTGCTAAACCCACACACCCAGCCAATGCAGAAACTAAAGGCAGTGTGCCAAGCTCCAACTGCTGCCCCATTTCCACCAGACACCACCAGTGCTTCATTCCACACAGGTTACAGCCAACGTGCTTCCCTCATAAGAAGTGCTTCCCTTTTTAAGGCTCCATCTGGTTAATTTTTTACCTCCGCAGCCTCATCAGACAGACGTTTTCACTAGATGATTAACAGGCATTTCAACAGAGATGAGAGTTTGCCCACACGGTGAACATAACTCAACTCCTACAGCTGCAGGGCAGGTATCCACCTGCACAGTAGCCACCGAGTGAACAGCCCTATGCTTTCCATGCAGCTACAGAAGATTTCCCTTTTCAGAACAGCACTTTATCAGACACTTCCTGTCTCTTCTGTTCCTCCTTAGGCCACATCAGCAATACCAAACAGAGAAAGAGGAATCAAAAGCAGCAGGGGCAGAAATACTTTCAACGTTCACAAGCAGCACAAGATATCATACAGAAACAGGCAACGGAGAAACAGCAAGTGCTTCCTACCTACTCGGAATGGTCAACTACAGCTCTAACTGCACCCCAAGGATGACACCCAGCAGTGCCACCTGTGTGCAAGTTGCACAGCATGAAGTAATCCCACGCACCGCTCTTTGTGCTGGAAGAGCAATCCCACAGAGAGCTGCTGGCCCGTGTGCAGCCCTGCTTCAGAGTGGGACACACTTCTTCCCAGAGACACCCAGAAGTGCCTGGATTCATTTATTCCCTTTTCCCTACTTTCTTCCCTCTGGAAATGAAACCATGACTTCCAAAGCTCTCATACAGTCAAGCAGTGACACCTCAGCACCACCTCAGCCAGTTCCAGGCAATAGACAGTAGCAAGAAATTGGCCGAGGTATTTCAACACTTTAAATTTTCCCTAAGAATTCTCTTTGGCTTTTGGAGGCTCTCATTTCCCTCTTGATCACTCAGCCACCATGACAAATCTTAAGTGCTTCTAGGAAGCAGGACTCTTTCAATAACAGTGTTAAAGGCAGAACGTGAAAGGACAAGATGACAGCGAGTATATTTTCTTACTGAAGATAAGCATGTGCCCTGAGAGGCATGTGTGTGTTCCCAGAAGAGTGATTTTACGAATAACAACCCTTAGCCCAGCTTCTCAAGCCCCTTGTGCCAGGAGTTCACAGGTCAGCACCGCACGTGTCATACTGACCGTGGCTCTTCTGTTTCTCACACCATTAAATTCTCAACTGACAGCCCCAGACAGCACCAGCCTCAAAATCAGTCTCATGTCAGAGCCAAGCTGGAAGAACTTACCCCAGAATTGTTGTGGAAAACAGCACTTTAAGGTGGAAAGGAGCCCTTATTTTTTAGCACTGTGACTGACACCCACCATTTGCACTGTGAGTGTCGCTCAGGATCACCAGTATCCCACAAAAGGCTGGGAGAATAACGAGAAAAACCCTCACTGAGATCAAATGAGAGCTGCATGGCTTCACTTCCAGAGGGGAGAGTGCCACATGAAAGTTTCTGAGCAAGGCTGAGCCCGCTGCCCCCAGAACAGCTGGCAGCTCGAGCTGCCCAGCAGCCTGCCAAACAGCTCTATTTGCTGACACACCTTTATCACAATGAGCTCCGTTCAGAAGCTGAAGTCATTTCATATCTGAGCAAGTTAGAGAATGCGTGGACTAGTGGGGAAGTAAATACGTTCCACCATTTCACCTGTGTAAGCTACAGTAATGTCAGTGCTATTATCTCTAGGCAGCAAGTGCAATTTTCTTCTGCTGAAGCAGCAGCCATATGGATAGAAACTTCCACATGAGCCAAGCTCCACATCTGCAGCTGTAACTACATTGCAGGAACACATTTCCTCCTGTAGTGTGGCTGTTACAAAACACCCCTATGACAGCCACACACAGCACAGACAGATCTTCGGCTGCACAAAATTACTGACAAGCAAGAGAGCTCTTTGTAGTTAGAGCACTTGGTATTTTTATCACAGTGACAGGAGGGCTCCTGAGCTGCACACAAACAAGTTACTGCATCCTAACTGACGGTATGCTTCAGTTTGGTTCCGCGCAGCCCCATGCAGCCATGGGAACACAGATGCAGTGAGAACACATGCTTTGAGGTGCGTGAGCCCACAGCACTGCTGTCGATCCAAGGCACAGCTGCAGTGCCAGCTGTTGCAGTGCAACAGAGCCTCGGTTCTGGATCACAAGACAAGCCCATTCTCCATCACGATACAAATTTCAGCTTTATAGGACTCTTCCAACTATAAACTATTCTACGAAAAGATGAGAAAGAACAACACAAGCACACTTCACTTTTCTTCCCAAAGACAGCACTTGATAAGGCAGCCTTTAGGACAGTGCCACTGCATTATAAACCATCCAGCACTAAGAACCAACACAATGAGCTCAGGACTTTTTTACAACCTTCCCAGCATAGGAGCAAAGCCTGCCAGCCCCACGGAACAAGGAAGCAAGCCGAAGTTGCATCTCAGCAGTTCCTGAGCCTACATCCTCCACCCACACCTTCCTACCTGCGAGGGCACGGCCTCGCACACACCTGCAGCTGGGGACAGCCGTGTAGGAGCGCCGGGCATCGCAGCGCTTCAGCACAGCCCAAGTCACGACAGCATAGAAAGCAAACACCTGCTGCACCACGTACAGAACTGAGCCCTCCGCTGCTGCCGTGCTTTAATTCCCCTCGGCCGCAATCGATACTACATGTACACCTTGGTGGTACGTTCACACGCTTCCTACGTAAAAATAAAAGAGCTTTACCAATAAAAAGCCACTTTGTCACCGAGTTTCTTCTCGCCGACGTTCCTGTCCAGGAGGTTGTAGCAGACGTTCGTCTTCGCCCCTTTCATCCACTCGATGAAGATCTTCCCCTTCGTCACATCGAAGTTGTACCTGAGGAACGGCCCCGAGTGCTGCTGCTTCCAGTAGAACTCCTTGGCGACGTCACCCCAAAACTCTACAAAAGCAACGGGCACAACTTACAACCCAGCCAGCCGAGAAACGGAAACCGCTCCGTATCTCAGCGGGGACGGAGAGGGGCAGCAAAGCGACCCCGGCAGCGCCCCGGGCTCCGGCAGCGCCCGCCCCGCGCGGCCCTCACCCTGCGGCTCCTCCACGGAGCGCCGGTACAGCCGCCGGTAGTCCGCCAGCGAGAGGACGTGCGCCGCCGGCAGCAGCTCGGGCCGCGGCCGGTACAGCCGGGCCTGCTCCTCGGGCTGCACCATGGCGGGCGCCTGCGGCTCTGAGCGGGAGAGCGGCGCCGACCCGCTTCAAAGCGGCGCGGAGCCCGGGGGGCGGAGACGGCGATGCAGGGCGGCGCCCGAGCGGCTCCGCCCGTCGCCCCGGGGCCGTTGGCGCCGGCCGGCCCGGAGCAGGCGCGGGGCGAAGGGGGGGCGGCCCGCCGTCACGGCGTGTGTCTGCGGTCGGCCATGTCGCTCCGGCGGCCGTGTGCCCCCAGCGGCCGCGTGGCGCTGTCAGCCGTGTTCCGCCGCCAGCCGCGTGCCTCCCTTGGTGGTGCGTCGTGTCGGCTGTGTCCCCGGCAATGGAATCCGCTCAGCCAGACTTGTCCCTGTCAGCCATGTCCCCCCATCAGCCGTATCCCCCTGTCAGCCTCATCGCCCTGTCGGCTATGTCGCCAAATCAGCCGTGTCCCCCCCCCCCATCTACCAGCTCCCCTGCCAGCCGTGTTCCCCTGTCAGCCATGTGCATCTGTTAGCCATCTCCCCCATCAGCCATCTCCCCCATCAGCCAGTTCCATCTGTTAGCTATCTTCCCCATCAGCCATATTCCGCATCAGCTCGGCCTCCCTGTCAGCCCCACCATCAACTCCCTGTTCATAGTGTCTCTGCCATCAGCTGTGCCCCCCTGTCAGTGATGTCCCCCCACCAGTGCTGTCCCCCCTTGCCAGCGGTGTACCCCAATAGCTGCCCTGTCAGCAACATCATGTCCCCATCAGCCTCGTCCCCATAGCCGTGCCCCCCTCCCATTGCCAGGCACAGGGGAACACTGCCAGGACGTCCTGTTTGCAGTGCCCAGGGAGGATGCTGAGACCTTGAAGATTTCTTCGGCACTGATGGATGTCATCCCTGCCAGTGCAAATGCACCACATCAAGGGGAGTCACTCGCTATGGGCAGCTTCTGTGGTACACAGTGCTGGGGCCCAGGAACACCCAGAAGATAAAAAGCCAGAAGCTTGTACTTGGCACACATTCCTGTCAGCAGATAGGTCTATTCTGGGATCCTTGGTATTTTCCATGTTCAGTGCACACCCTGGGAGCATTGTGTTGCTGCCACAGACAAACCCACTGCCGCCCATGCTCTCTGTATGGGCAGACATGGCATAGGCACAGCCAAAGTCAGCAAGGTGTTTCCCTCACCAGCCTGCACTGTCATTACTTCCACGTTTCCTATTGCAAAAAACTGTTTTTGAAGAAAAAAATGAATGAATTCCTGCAGCCTGGGCGCTGTGGCATGGGTATTTTAGGAGCCATGGGCAGCGTATCTGGAGACTTGTTCAGCAATGCTGGTGTGGGCTGCTGAGGCCAGAGATGCTCTTGAGCTTCAGCTGTGTTCAGGATCCTGCCTGATGGGGTGAGGTCACAAGGCACCTGCAAAGAGGAAAACTGAGAATAGCCCCTGGATCTGCTTTCCTGTGCAAACATGCCCATGCATAGGGCTGAGAACCACACTGCTGGGCAGACCCAGCCTTGGCATAGACATGGCCCTTATCAGCTTTCATTTTGATGGTCAATAGATGAAATATGGAAACACTCTGGTCTCTCTGCAGGGATAATCTAGGCTCCAGGGCAAGGACTCTTGCTGCATGACCACACTTTACTGCTCCAGCTCCCTTGGCTCCCTTGGCTCCAGAGCAACTTGCATCCAGTTGTGCTCCTGCCCTGGAGCTGGGGCTTGGTAGGGCAGAGTGCTGTAGGTGGGGTTAAACATGGGGATATACATCTCACCACAGATCAAACACCTCTGCATTGGCTGCAGGAGGAAATTTTAACCAGCACTGTGATAACAGCCTTTGGGCCCTGCTGGGAGTTATCAGTGCCTTTGTTTGCAAATGGGGCTGCTCGATATTGGTGAGGCTCTGGGCATTGTGTGGGCAGCTCCGCAGCCCCTGGGAGTTCCCTCCTCCTGCTGGCATGGGGAGCTAAAGTGGGTCAGTTTGGGCAGAACCAGGCCTGAGCCATTCCTCTGCTCACAGGGATGACAGATGGCTGAATTTCAAGCTTCAGAGAGAAGCTGATGAATATCAGAGCCTGATGATTTAGCCTTCTGCAGAGCGCGTGCAATATATTCATAATCATTTTGCATGTAGATGAGCTTATAATGCAACCACGGTTCTAAATCAAACCCGGGAGACACATTACTGCTGTTTGCCTGAGCTTTCAGAGTGATTGAGCCACAAGAAAATGCCTTTCTGTCTCCTAGATGGGGCCAATTAACCTTATAAAGATGCTCTCCCCTCTCACAATGGCTTGTTTGTTTATCTGGGCTCTGCTGGTTGCTGCTGTTTTCCATCTGGATGATGGAGCCGAGTCAAAGGGAGATATAGTGGACACCAGGCATGCAGAGGAAGGTAAACCAGGCTTGGGAGACACTGCATCGGTCTGCAGTGCTTTAAGAGAGGTTGAGGTTTAGGAGCTGCTTTCCCCATGGGGTTTCATCGGTGTCCCAGAACTCCTATGGCAGCGATGTGCCCTCTGCTGCCGAGCTCCAGCCCTGCAGTGCCAGCCATGCAAGCACCACAGTGGGCAGTGACACAGAGTCTGAAGTGGCAGCCACGCAGGGTCTGTTGTGACAGAGATTTGCAGCCCGTGGGGTCAGCGATGCAGGGCCCCCAGGGGGCAGCAATGCAGCCTCCAAGCACAAGTTCATGACAGCTATGCTTCATGGTGCAGCACATCCCAGCCATAGCATCCAAGCACACACACCCCTGCGCTATTCCCTGACACCCTCTGCTTTTGCCCTAAGCCTGGAGCAGCCTGGAGCTGAGCTGCACTGGAAAGTTGCTCCAGCTCCCAACATGAAGGGCACTAGCCGGCTGCACAGGGGTGACCCAGACCTGCATCCTGATACCTCACTTGAGTTAGAAGCATGGGCTGGAGTGAGAGTATCTGCTTGGGCACAGGACACAGCAGCCCATCCTACGCTCGGGCGGTCAGGGGTAGCAAAACCACACCAGTGCTCTGTGGGACCACAAGGGCCGGTGAAGGCAACCAGCAAGCAGGTCTGCTTCTTTCTTCTCTTTTTTTCTCCCTTGGCCACACCCCACCACGCAAAATGTCCTATTCCCATCCCCTTAGGCTGAGCTCAGGGAAGCTCCTGCTGTTTTGCAGGGAAGGTGGGACAGGGCACGTGGAGAGAGGTCTGCAGGCAGAGCTGTAGCCAGAGGATGCTGGAGAGGGACCTGGCCACAGCAGATTCCCCTGTGGTCCCCGGCAGCCCTGTCCCCAGCTGAGGGCTGGAGACTGAGGACAACTGCTGTGAAGCCCACGGTCATGGCTGAGCCACCCTATCTGGTTCATCTCCACAGCTCCTTGGCTCAAGATGCAGGTTGTTTCTATGCTCATCCCTGTGGCTCATTTGTGGCACCATCCCACCAGCCTGGCCAGGTCTCACATTTGCTTCCATCACCCTGCAGTCAAAACATCTCCCTGCAAACAGCATTTGCTCCTGCATGGAGAGAAGGGCCGGGAGCACAGCTGGTCAGGCCAGTGCTGCTGGATGGGAACTCTCTCATTCATCACCCAGCACATCACAAATTCTCAGGAGCTGTCTTCACTGTGTTTGACATCCCCAGGGGCTGTAGCAGGCAGTGGCCAAGAGGCAATTGGAATAGGAAAGCCACCATTTGAGATGGTGGCTCCAACACATTAATGTGAAGACAACTTAAAAGAAAGATTTTATTTCAGGAGAGATTTTTTTATTGTTTATTTTTAAACAGACTTGGTTTAGATTTTTGTTTTCTACAATAATTCAGTGTAAAAATCCCAGTACAATATACAACAGTTTGAATGTTTGGAATAAGAAATCCAGCTTGGGGAGACACGTAAGTTCAGCTAGGTTCTAACACAGGTAGGAAATTCTCTCCACCCTCTCCCAAGTTCACCAGCCAGGAAGGCATTTGGGTGGGAACACTTTACAAATGTCATCCCTGCCCCATCCAAACTTTGGCTGCCTGTGTTGCAGTGGGACACATCACCTCAGGAAGGGGCAAAGATGCTGCTCCTCCATGGGGTGGTTGGGAACCTCCAGCATCGCAAGGCAAAGTCTGCATCAAGTGAGCCGGCTGGCCCTTGTGCGTGAGGGATGTAGGATGGATGCTCTGAAGGGGCCTCCAGGAAGGTCCCTCAGGGTCTGGGGCTCCCACGGGATGGAGAAGAAGTCTGTCCTCCCCTCAGCAGTGCCAGCAGTTTGCGCCCTGCTGTGGTCAAAGGTGGCTGGGAGGGAACAGCCCCTGCATGGCCCAATCCAAGGGAAGGAAAATGAAGGTGATGCAAGGGTTGCTGGCTCGAGGGGCTGAGCGGTCCTCTCAGGGTATCTCACTGGCTGGGATCTGGCAGTCCTTCAGGAAGCCACTTTGGCTTGGCCCATGGTACTCAAGCAATTTGGGATGGTCCTGCTTGAGCATCCTGGAATGGTCCCACTCAATCTACATGGGGTGGTCCTGCTTGAGCAACATGTGAAGGCCATGCTCAAGCTACATGTGATGATTCTGCTTAAGCAGCCTGGCGTGGTCCTGCTCAAGCACCAGGGAGTGATCCTGCTTGAGCAGCGTGGAATGGCCATGCTGGAGCAGTATGGGATGGTCCTTCTCCAGCAGCATGGAGTGATCCTGTTTGAGCAGTCTGCAATGGGCCTGCTCAAACAGCACATGGGGGTCCTGCTTGAGTACCATGGAGCAAGTGGCAGTGATGGTTCCTCGTGTCCTGCAGTATCACAAACACTGCACTCAAATCTGTGTCTGGCCTTTTTTGACACTCTTGGAAATCCGCCAGTGTTTGGAGAAATCTCCTACAGGTGTGAGTGCTTCAGTGGATTCCAGGAGACTCTGACTGAGCTCCCTTGTTCCAAAGGGTTATTGCTAACGAGTCAGAACCAGTGACTTCAGCTGCGTTTTGTAATCTTCCAAGAGCAGAAATCCTTCCACTTCCCCAGTGAGCAGTTCCAGCTGTACCAGCTCAAAGGAGAAGTGCTTC